GTTTCTACCGAATACCGTTTATGCCGCCCACCCCTAGTTATCGGTATTACTAGAAACAGAGAATAACAAAAATAACAAGATTTATACTGTTTGAATAAATCACATTTTAACAGTATTTAAATAGTTCTTGAGATACTAGTAATAGCACAGTAATGCTTCAAGAACCAACACATAAACTTAGAAAACCAAAGGAATGAATATTAATTATAACTTGATTTAACCACATTTAAGCTAGAAATGGATTGGTGGGGAAAAACAAGAAATGGTTTAAAACAAATAAATTACATTTGATCAAAAATATAAAGGTAAAGTAAGTATTTTTTGAGATTATGTAATAGAATAGTTATTGTCATAACCATCTTTTTAATGAATCCACTAAAATACATAGGAGCGATTGCTCTTTTGTGGAAGCTGACATGTTGTCTTGCCATCTTTACACAGTGGTCGACTGTTTTTTCTAATCAGCCACATACTGTAAGTAATACGTGCTATAAGTTACTTATAGTTACAAGTTGCTCTTTTAAAGTATATGTGACCATTTAACATTTGTACTTGTATATTTTCAATATCTCTGACTCACTATGTCTCCAGATAGCTGACAAAGGGCCAGCTAATGTTAGACTCAAGAATCACACTTCCCCTCTGATAAAAAGTTTTATTACATTCAGAGTTTCTAGAGTTTCAGAAGTCAGAGCCACTTGGAAAAAAAGTTTAGCTAACACCTGCTAACAGCAGCAAAAACAGCAGCACTTACCAGGAGAAAAGTTCAGGATCTCCTCAAAAACTTACCTCGGTATCGCTGTCATCAGACAGAAGTGAGCCTCACTGACTCATCGACTCATATCAGATTCCTTTCACAAAGTTTTACAGCCTCCTCCAGAGTAAATAGACGAGGACTCATATTGACAACTGAGGTAAACAATGGACTGAGAACCTATACTCACTACAGATAAACATATTGGCCACCATAGCTGGGATTATACATTTAATTTGGGAGGGGTAAAAAAACAGAATTCAGCCGAATGAAAAATGCTATCTGCTGAAATCTATTGGTGAGAGTTTACACACTGTACCTTAAAGTTTCTTAATTAAATCCTTCACATATACATATGTATATATATAAGGGGTGCAACGATACACAAAATTCACGGTTATCGGTTCGATACTTTGGTGTCACGGTTCGATATTTTTTCGATACAGAAAAAATGTTCATGCCTTTTTAATTTGTCATTTATTAA